GGTTTGCACAAGTACATACTATGATGTTTGCACAACGACAAAATGGCCTATCAACACGTTTCTCAGAACATAGCCCCGTTGTTAAGCGCCGCATGCCTGTAATTACATCCTACTCATTCAGAGAGCAAGTGTTTATTGAGCACCGACTATGTGCCAGGCACTGTTCTGGGGGATCTGACGTAGCAGTCAATGAGAAGACAGACAAGAGATGATCTATGCTAGTGACAACACGGACACTAGAAGATCATGAGCAGTGTGGGGAGAGAGAGATAAAGGAGGATTGGGGGATTGGGAGTGCTGGGGGGTGGGGCGCACTGTACTGGGGAGGTTGAGCAAATACTTGGAGGAAGTGAGTGAGCCCAGGGAGGAGCATTCCAGACAGACAGACAGAGGGGTCCTCAGCACACAGGCTGGTGGGGAGGGAGCCGGCAGCCATGCAGGCTGCAAAGGACTTGGGCTTTTCCTCCCATGAACTGGAGAGCCTTAGAGGAGAGAGGACAGCAGAGGAAAAATGGTAACTCTCACCACTCCCAGTCCTCAAGCCCTTATCTTAAGGCCCGGGGCCAGATGTGCCTGGGAATTCAGAAGTTTTCAGATTGTAGCAGGTAACATTGAGTAGCTACCATGTGCTCACAGCACATGCAACGAGGGCTGGGGCAACACCCCGTAATTGAACACATTCCCATTTCTGCAGTGAAACATATGAAACTGCACACTAAGAGGGACCTGTAAACACCCTCCAGCCAAGAGCATTAGAAAAGACTTTTAGATTTTGAATTGTAGATAAGGGATCAGGGGCCTGGATCACTTCCTCCGGAACTATCACTACCACCATTACTGTCATCATCATCACAAGAGCATTAGAAAAGACTTTTAGATTTTGAATTGTAGATAAGGGATCAGGGGCCTGGATCTCTTCCTCCGGAACTATCACTACCACCATTACTGTCATCATCATCGTCATCATGTGCCCCTAGGGGCTTGACTCTCATGGGTCCCAAAGGGTCCCTAATACTCCCTTCTCCCTGGGGACGTGGCTGGGACAGATGTGGAAGGAACAGGATCGGAAATGGATGGGGGGTTCAGCATAGGCAGCAAGGGTTCTATGCACCACCACAGACTCCCACAGAGGCATCTGGAGTGAGTCCCCTCCCTCTCTTTGGCCTCAGTTTCCCCCATCTGTACCATGGGAGAGCAGGCTCTAAGGTCTCCCCCTGGTAAACTCCCATGGGGCCCTGTCAGGTGATGGAGATGGGGTTTCTGTCCTCACTGTACAACACAGCTAGCTGTGTGACCTTGGACAAGTGATTCAGCCTTTGAACCTCGATTTTCCAATCTGAAAATGGGGGCAAGCATGGTCCCTTCTTCACAGGGCTGTGGGTGGAAAGAATGACCTTCATGCATGAAAGAGCTTTGGAATATATTAAGCTCTGAACAAAAAGAAGGGCTTGGAGCTTGTCACTGTGACAACAGAGACATAGTATATGGCATGAAACTCATGCAAATTCAATTAGACATGCCAAGCCACCAGAGAGAAATAACAATTTAAATAGTGAAGGTCACTCCGCCCATGCTCCGCTGTCCATTCATTGGCACAGGCTCTGGGTAAGCAAGATTAGAGACCGAATCTGCTGCTCCCTCCTGGTTTAAACCCAGTGAGATGATACGCGTGTTTTGCACATAAAAAAGACTCCTAATCGTAACCAACCATTTCATCTGGTGTTCAACTTAAGATACAGAATTTTGGCTCTTTATGATCTTTGTTTCCCTGAAACCATGATACAGCTTCAGGTTAGACACAGCTCTGCTGATCACTGTCGTTTCAGAAAAGAGGGGTTTCTGACCTTCTGAGTCAGGCAACGTAGAGGCTTCAAGGATGGAAAATCCAGAATTCTCCCCCAAAGGCAGGCAGAAAAATCGATGGCTGTAATTGTGGAGAAGTTTATAGCATGTTAGCGAAACCATGATACAGCTTCAGGTTAGACACAGCTCTGCTGATCACTGTCGTTTCAGAAAAGAAGGGTTTCTGACCTTCTGAGTCAGGCAACGTAGAGGCTTCAAGGAAGGAAAATCCAGAATTCTTCCCCAAAGGCAGGCAGAAAAATTGATGGCTGTAATTGTGGAGAAGTTTATAGCATGTTAGGGGGAATTATTGTTTATGGAAAAAAGGGAACATCAGAGCACTAAGTCAGCCCATCGGTGTCCTTATCTGTGAGACAAGGTGGTGACAGTCCCCCTCATATGAGGCTTCAGGGAAGAAACAGGGTCTTCCATAAAAAACCCTTGCCCTGGAGTCTGCACAGGGTAGGAGGGCTATCATTGTTATTATCATCAGTAATGTCCCAATCCCTTGCTGTGACCCCAGGGGCCTGCTGGACCAACTCCCAGTGTGGAGGAGCTGTAAATGGACATGCGGAAAGGTCCGAGCAGACCCTCCAAATGGTCAGAGGCAGGGTCGAGAGTACAGGCTCAGAAGCTAGCTGCCTGGACTAAAAAGTCTCCTCATCTGTAAAATCAATCATACAGGTCCTCAAACATCCATCTGCAATTCCAAAACCCAAAAAACATTTGAAAATTTCTGACAAACGCCTTTGGTACAAATCCTGACCTGAACTCGTGGGAGGCAATTTATAATCTTGACACATCCCACTTACTGTGAAAATTCCTACGTTTCACTGCAGACACCATCATGGGTTTGAAGCCAGGGCTCTCCAGACACATGGCAATGGTAGATGACACAGGCACGTGGGCAAAACAGAAGGCACAGGCCAATGCCCAGGGCTCTCAATGATGCAGCCGGCATGGCCTGGGTGTCCTATTTTTCAAAAACATTTGGCTCTTGGAATTTGTTTAAAAAGCAAAAGAAAGTAAAAAGAAACCTCTTTTAAAATGGCTCAAAAAAAATTTAAACACCACGCACAGCAAGTAAAACATCCCTGATTGGATGTAGCCCATGGGATGCCGTACAGAGAGCCAAGGTGAGAATCATTCTGAATATTGTGGGGGCTGGAGGAGGAGAAGGGAGGAGATGAGGGTATAAATGTCTTGGAGCTGCTGTCAGGAATTCATCTAATCTTCACCAAGATCTCATCAAGAGACGCAGGGTCAAAACAATTAAATCTCTGCAAATGCAGGCGAACAGACTGGGCTCAGGGAGACTGATAAAGGCTGCTAACTCTCTCTGGCTTTTTCAGCCCTGAGTTTTGCCTGGACTTGCCCAGTCCAAGCCTAAATTGTCAGGGGAAAGGAGGGGTCTCCACAGAATTCTCATTCCCAGCCCAGCTGCTTGGGGTATAGATGCCGAAGGCAGGTAAGGAAATGGCATGATGCTTCATTCCTCGTGTCCCTCATGGTCTAGAAGGTCTCGAGGCTCCTGTTCCCAGATTTGGCAGCAGCAGAGCATCTGGCCTCCGGCTGCAGGGGCTTTAGGAAGGACAGGGAAGAGTAAGCTGCAGCCCCAGAGGGAGTCGGGGAGACCCTGAGCACAGTCTGCAGGGTTCAGGGGAAGGAGGGTGTTGGTCTGACCCCTGTGAGAAGCAGCTAAAAAAATGAAAATAGGTTGTGGATGATGAAAACCTGAACGTATCCCTGGATAGGCAGAAAGACTAAGTCTCCAACTCAGCCAGGCAGCTCAGCGTCCACCTCTGCCCTTCCTCTACCAGCCGCTGAGAGACATCAGGAACTAAAGATTGTAGATCACAGACGTTTGAACCGAGAGGAAGGTGAGGGGTCCTGGAAGCTAATCTCTTCGCTTTACAGATGAGGAAACTGAGCACAAAGAGTTTAAGCGACTTGCCAAAGTCACGCAGCAAGTTCATGGCTAAGTCTTCCCGTGGCATGTTTTACTGCCTGAACAGAATCACAGGATCATTCCCTCTGACAGGACTGCATGCCAGGGACATGCAGGAATTGGTGAAATGCAGGGCAGAGCACCGCAGGCTTCCGTCTGAAGGGAAGGGAGGCAGCTTGGCCCCGCCGGCAAAAGCAGGCCCTGCGGCAGACAGCTGGGTTGCGGTCCCAGCCCAGCACCCACCAGCGGCTTGCAAAAGCTATTTAACCTCTCTCAGTCTCCTCATCTATAAAATGGAGACCAAAATAATAGTACCTACTTCATAGCGTTGTGGTGAGGCTTGAGAGAAGAACTGTATAAAAGGGCCTGGAAGAGTGAAAACTTTGAAGTGGTGATGGTGATAGTGATGGTGTTGATGCTGGTGCTGGTGCTGGTGACGATGATGTGGCGATGGTGATGGAGATGTGATGGTGTTGGTGATGGTGATGGTGACAGTGAGGGAGGGAGATGAGAGGGAGCGCTGCTCCTCTGAGGACCACACAGGCACCCAGAGGGAGGGGACACCCTGCAATGCATAGACATCTTTTCTCAACACAGCGTTTTCCTTTTTAGCATTTCACTTGGTTCTCCAGCTTGTTCAGTCTTTCCTGATAATGTTCTCGGAGCAGGGCCTGGGCTGTTCTGTGTGGGATCTGCAAGGATGTCAGGCCCGTCCCTGCCCCAGGGGCTTCACGGTGTGGCTGCTCGAGCACTTCAGGGGTAGGTCTAGGTGGTACTCATCTCTGCATCTCCAAACTTAGCACTTTGGAGGTGCCACTTGGTGGCCGAGAGCAGAGAACATGGGTTTTGAAGTCAGACTCATGGTTCGAATGCAGGTCCTGCCACTTGCTAGCCACATCACCTTGCACAGGGCACTTGCCCTCTGCCAACATTTATACCATGAACATACTCAACTCATGTTGTAAGGCCGGTAGAAGATTAACAATAATGTCTGTAAGAAAACACCAAGTGCTGAATATGCAGCGGATGCTCAACAATTGCTAGCTGCTGTTAATAACGACTGTTGACTGTGGGGACTCTGGGAATACAAAGTTTCCAGGTGGGAAAGGGCAGTGGTGAGCCCTCTGGTCTGGCTCTCTGTGCCAGGTGGAGCAACCCTCCCACTGGGAAAGCTCCCCGAGGCCTGCAGTAGTGGCCACACCTGCCCCAGGCCCATCCTCCCACCCCACAGCCCAGCAACAGCTCTGAGCACTGAACACGGGCCAGATAGGCACTGGGTAGGTCCTTTACATAGATGATTTCATCTCATCCTCACAGCATCGCTGGAAAACTGGTCCCATGCTCATCCCCATGCTGTGGATGAGGACACTGAGGATCAGAGAGGCTGAGAGACTTGCTTGCCAGGTGCCGCAGGCAGGAAGTAGCAGAGCTGGTACTCAGACCCAGAGCAATAGAAAGTTACCAGTACCGGAAAACCAGTCCTGCATCGTACAGCACCGAAGGGCGGATCTGCAGGTCCTCTCTCCCCACAGGCGCCACTTCAAGCTGTCTCAGCCCTCATGACTTAGCCAAAGGAATGACTCCCTAAAGGTGGATGGCCCTACTCACTATGGGGAGCTGGTACCAGAGGGAGGTGGGAGAGATAGGTCAGAGGTGAGAGGTATGACTTAGCCAAAGGAATGACTCCCTAAAGGTGGATGGCCCTACTCACTATGGGGAGCTGGGACCAGAGGGAGGTGGGAGAGATAGGTCAGAGGTGAGAGGTGAGAGGCGAGGGCAGGGCAGAGGGCCTCCTGCCTCCGTGCTCACCACGCTAGCTGCTAGCTGGGCATCCACACTGTGCCCTCCTGAGGCTGCCCTGTCCACTGCAATAGATCAGATGATTGACAGCTGGACCATCCCTTTCACCCAGGCCAGAGCTCTGGCCACTGCTCCCAGCCCGACACTCACCATTTGCGAGAATTACCTTCCCCTTCCAAGACCCAAGGCATCGGTGATGGGATCTTGTGAAGATGGGGAAACTTACCACAGGGCCACGACAACTTCATTACCAGGAGTCTTGGCTTGGGAGGGGAGGAAGGGCTGGTGGGGGCACTTCTTTTAAAATTCTACCACAAGCAAGAAAAGACTTTTTAAAAACACATCTGTTTTGTAACACCCAACCACAGTTTCTCACAAGCAATTTAAACACAGCTGTTTCCTATATGAAGAAGTGTCCTGACCAAACGCCATCCCCAGCTCCCAACCGAGGAGTAAGCCCAAGAGTCAGACAGATGGAAATCAAAATACCTGCTTTGTGACTGATAAAGCTTGGTGGTGAACACAGAGGGTGGGCTCAGAAGCCACACGAGCTTGCTACCCACCCCCCTGTCCCCACCCAAATTAAACCTCCTCCCTGCCCCAGACTAGCCAGCCAGCTGTTGTTCAACCAAGAGCTCCACGCAATGGGCCACTCTGCCCCTGCTCCACAGTCAGGCAGGGCTGGCAGGAGGCAGAACTTCCCAACTGGCCCACACTGGGGAAGGCTGGTTCCTTACAGACCATGTTCGCCGGGCCTGTGGTCTTGGCTCCCTAACTGGCTGTGCCACCTTGGGCAAGCCCATCCATCTCTGAGCTTTGGTCTCCTCCTCTGGAAACCGGGAGCTGTTAAAGATAAACTGCTGGCATTATCCTACCTAGGGAATACTAGGAGTAGCAAACACTCTCTTGGGTTCCCTTTCAGGCTCATTTCTTGATTCTCTAGAACTACCAGAGTTCAAACGTTTTTGACCAAAAGCAACACAAAGGACATTCTTACATTGCAACCCCCAAAGCACAAAAAGTGATACTTCCCCTCACAACACATAGTGCATTTTGATGTTCTCTATTCTATTTCATTTTGTTTTTTTAAAAAAATTGATGGTTGCATTACTACAAAGGGATAGCACGAGGAAGTCCGGGAAGTGACGGAACTGGTGTACTCCTTGTGTTGGTCACGCACATCTATATATGTGTTAACATTCACAGAATTGTTCACTAAAGAAAAATCAATTTCACTATGTTCACTTATAAGGTTTCAGAAAAAGAAAAAAAATTGATGGCTGCAACCCACTAAGTTGACTTCATGATTGCTTAGGGGTTCCAACCTGTAATATGAAAATCCCTGCCTCTGAACCCCATGACAGCGGGTGGAGGGAGGCAGAAAGGGCCACTGTTCAAGCAGTGGGTAGGTATTAGCAGGCGTGGGGGGAGAGGGTGGGAATGGATGGTCGTATAACTTCGTATAATGTGGCTTTACTTCCTGACCCTTTTCTCTCTTTTCTGCAGTCACTTCCTGCCTTGGATGGCTCAACTGGGACGACCCGGGTAAGGAAGAGCCACATGGAGGGAGGCCTGGGGCATGGCTTTACTTCCTGACCCTTTTCTCTCTTTTCTGCAGTCACTTCCTGCCTTGGATGGCTCAGCTGGGACGACCCGGGTAAGGAAGAGCCACATGGAGGGATAGCAGGGCTACAGTTCCATCAGGCTGTAGGGGGACCTGCCAGTTAAGAAGCCATCACCTCCACCAGAGTGAACGCCACCATACACACAGACACATGCACATTTAGGATGCCCGTGGATGTCCTTGCTGACTACAAAGCACTACAAATGCTAGCTCTCATGATAGGTATTATTATGAGTCACTCACCAAGCACAGAAAATATACAGCCCATAAATGAACCTTACAAAGTCCTGTTCCTACCCAGTCCTGCCAGATGCTCCATGGTCAAAGACATTTGCCCCGAAGCTGCAGAGAGGGGATATGCCAGATTGTAAAGTGTAATGAGTGTCCAGCCTCAAAGGTTGGACATTAATCCTACGGTAGTTCCCAAACAGGGTTCCGCGGAACATGTAACACCACATCTCCCACTGGAGACTGACAGTGTACACCAGGCTAATAAGGTCTCTGAGAAGTCCTGCAGTAGAGAAACATGCTAAACATTTTTTAACTCAGCAATTCCCACACTTACAGACCTCTCCCCTTCACATTGACTGGGATAACATCACACTGAATGTATTTTGAGAGAGATGTGGCTGGCGGGTATCACAAAACTGTCATGCAGCCCAAGGGGTCCACAGGGGCCTTGGCAGGCTCTGGGCTGGGCCCTGGATCCTGCACTGACATCCTAGCCCCAAGCTCTAGCAAGTTACTTAACCTCCCTGAGCTCCAATTTCCCCACCTGTGAAGAAGGGAGAAAATCTTTTCCCTGGTGAGGATTCAGTGAATCAGCTCCCTGGGCAAAAATCCTGCAAGGCAATCCATCAGCATTAGGTATTGAGACTAGCTCGCTCTGCCTCTGACTAGCCACGTGACCTTGACAAGCCCTGGCCTTGCACGTTGGCCCCAAAGTGTCCTCATCTGAAGAAAAAGGCAGCCTGACCAGTGATTCCTTTGTCAGGGAAGAATTTTTTAAACTTCTTGAATAGGTAATACATTCATCTGGCTCAAAAATTTAAAAATATAAAAAGATCTACAGTGAAGAGTCTCACTTCCACCTCTGTCCCCCATCTTTTCAGTCCCTCTCTCCACCCCAACACCCCAGGTAATGATCACATTCACTCGTTTTTTTGCATATCCTTCCAGAATCTCTTTATGCAAACATACACAACACACACACACACAGACAAATATTTTCCCCTCATGGAGCTTTCTAAAATTGCATAAGCCGTGTACCTACCTATGACCCAGCAATTCCATTCCTAGGTATTTACCCAAGAGAAATGGAAACTGCCCACACAAAGGCCTGAACATGAATGTTCACAGCAGCTTTATTCGTAGCAGGCAAAACCTGGAAACAACCCAGATGGTGAATGGAAAAACTAATGTGGCATATCCATACAATGAAATATTATTCAGCAATGAAAAGGAATGAACTACCAATACACACAAAAATATGGCTAAATAAATCTCAAATACATGCTGAGCAAAAGAAGCAAAATTTAAAAAAAAAAAAAAAGCATGCTGTTTCCATTTATGTGACATTGTAGAACAGGCAAATCTAATCTCTAGTGACAGAAAGCAGATCAGTAGTTGCCTGAGGCTGGATTCAAGGAAATTAACCATAAAGGGGCATGAGGGGACTTTCTGGGTGATGGAAATGTTCCATGTCTACATTATGATGGTGGTTACGTACATGTATACATTTGTCAAATTCCATTGAACAGTACTGTTAAAATGAGTACATTTCACTGCATGTATACTGCACCTCAATAAAATTGATTTTAAGATTTAAACACACATACACACACACACACAATATTAAGCCTTATGTCAGACTTATTAAAACAGAATTTCCAGGAGTGGGGTGATTCTGCTGGACAGTGGGTGCTGAGACCACCTTGCCCACTGCTCCAACTTCCCCTCCAGCTCTGAAATCTGGAGCCCTACCCTCCTGCGCCCAGCTTCAGGCTGCCCCAGCCTGAGTGCCCCAGAAGGGACAAAGCTCACAAGGAGCAGGACAGGCAGCCAGGGGGGCGGGAAGTGAAGGAGGGAGCCCAACTGGGCATGAGGGACTAGGTGGGGAGGGGGCAGTTAGGGGCCCCAGTGGAGAGCCCTTCCTAGCCTGACCACCCACAACCTCTTTGACCCCCAGATTTCCAGGGGAGGCTGGCCAACTCCAATTCACGGTGCCAGGGCCAGCTGGAGGTTCACTTGAGGGGCCTGTGGCGCACCGTGTGCAGGTGGAGCTGGGGCTGGAGCCCAGACGGCCGGGAGGATGCCAGTCAGGCCTCAAAAGTCTGCCAGCGGCTGCACTGCGGGGAGGCCTTGGTCCTTGCCCACTTCCCCCTCTTCAGCAGACCCCAGAACCAGATCATCTGCCACGGACACCCGGGGTCATTCTCCAACTGCAGCAGCAGCAGCAGCAGGGCACGCCAATGCCCCCCACTGGGCCTGGTCTGCTTAGGTGGGTGACTGCCGGCCACGTGGGCATCGTTGTCCTGGGCACCAGCCCCCAGGAGGCTGGCCAGGGCCTGTGATCTGAGGCCTGAGCACGCAGGTGGAAGGGGAAAGGGGTCCCCAGTTTATAACTGGTGGGGAGCTGGAGAGGGGCAGTACCTGTCTGGTAGGATGAAAAAGGAGGACCTATTTCTGCCAAGTGCTAACTTCTGCATCCCCTCTGAACCTCTTTTCCTACCTGTAAAGTGAGGTGGTTCTGCCCACCTCACCTGGGGCTTAGAGATAATGTGTGGGTCAAGTGGGCTTAATGTGGCAAGTGGTACTTATGTCACAAGCTCGGGTATTTCTCAACACTGCTGGATCCCCCTGCCCTCCCTACACCCCCATTCTTTCCTCCTACCCCCTCATTCCTCCCTCTCAGGGTCGCTTGCCCCTCCCTCACCAGAGTGTCTCATTACAGAGCCCCAGATGACAACACCTCCACCCACAAGCCCCCCGCCTACAACCACTCCAGAGCCCACAGGTAAGAGGATTCTGAGGCCCCATGGAGATATGGAGTCAGATTTAGCAAATAAAAACCCAGGATGCCCAGTTACATTTGAATGTAGATAAATGGGGAAAATTTTAACCATAAGTGTGTCTTATGTTATATTTGGGATCTCACCACCTTCCAAGGGCGACCAAAGAAGCATCAGTTCTCACGTCTGGCTCAGCGCAACCCCATCCCCCATCTCCATCTCTCTCCTCTCCCAGCTCCTCCCAGGCTGCAGCTGGTGGCAGTGCCCCGGGGCCTGCGGTGTGCTGGCATGGTGGAATTCTACAGCGGCAGCCTTGGTGGCACCATCAGCTATGAGGCCCAGGACAGGACCCAGGGCCTGGGGGACCTCATCTGTGCAGCCCTCCAGTGCGGCTCTTTCTTGAAGCATCTGCCAGAGGCCGAGGCAGCCACGGCACAAGACCCAGGGGAGCTCTGGAACCGCAGGCTCTTGCCAATTCGATGGAAGGTCCAGAACGCAAGCTGTGCCTCCCTGGAGCAGTGCTTCAGGAAAACCCAGCCCCAGGAGGGTGGCCAAGCTCTCGCCCTCGTCTGCTCAGGTTAGTAAGCCCTGGCCAAGCCCCGTGGGGCCTTCTGCTGCCCTGGGAGGTGTCACGGTCAGAGCATCCCCAGAGGGGTTTCCTGAAAACCCCTGCATGCAGCGCAGGAGATGAGGCACTATGGGGAACACAAGGGAAGTAGAGGCCTGATCCTTGGCCTCTAAGAGGTGGAGTGGGGTGAGTTGGGGAGCGCACACTCGCACTCAGTGCCTTGGGAATCTCTGCAAAGTAACTGACCAAGCCCAAAGGAATCACTGGCCCAGCTGCCACATGGGGAACTGAAGCCAAAACTTCCAGGAGAAGACAAGGTCTCTCCGTGGGTTTGGTGGAGGAAGAGAAAAGGTTTTGTGGGTGGGAATCACGGCTTGTGCCAAAGCATGGAGCACTTGGAGGGGCAGGCTTTGTAGGAGGGGAGTTTGTAAATCCTGAGAGATGAGGTTGGAGGGTGGTGAGAGATGGGAGGTCCCTGAGGCCTGGGGGCCAGAGCACGGCAGGCAGAGACACACAAGAGCAGGCCCTCAGGAGGGCTCTCTGCACAGAGTCCTGAGCCATGGGCCCACACAATGGAGACTGGAGGTGCTGGTATGGTTGAGGGAGAAGGCAGGGAGGCTGAGTCTGTAAGACACCAAGGGCCAAATCAGAATCAACAAAGGAAGCTGAGGGGAAGAGATCCCAGTTCAAAAATAAGGAAAAACAACCATAGCATGCCCCGGGAAGCAGTGGGTTCCTGTCACCAAAGTGTTCTAGTGGAGTCCAGACTCTACTTACTGAGCGCTTAATTTGTGCCAGGGACCACTCCAGGGCATTCTTTTATTTTCACAATGACCTTAGGAGGTGGGTACTGTTATTATCCCTTTTTACAGATGAGGAACCTGAGGCTCAGAAATATTAAATGTTTTGCCAATATCATCGAGCACTAGCTGGGATTTCCACTCAGGCAGTGTCACTCCATAAGCCTCAGCTACTCCAAGTGTGGTCCCAGACCACACAGCACGGGCATCACCTGGAAGACTCTCAGACCTGAATCAGAATCCGCTCTTTTTTTTTTTTTTTTTTTTTTTTTGAGTGGGGGCAGCAGATAACTGGTATGGAGAACCAAACCCTTAACCTTTGTGTTACAAGGCTGAGCTCTAACCAACTGAGCTAACCAGCCAGCCCAGAATCCTCATTTCAGCAAGGTCCCCAGTGATTCCTGTGCACAAATGTAGGAGGCATTGCTCTGGACCATTCTGCTATCCTGTAAGCAAGGCCACCCCCAACCCATTGGGTACCTGGTGTGAATTAGTAAAACACTGCCCCCTCCAGGCAGAAGCAGTCCCCAAGGTCTCTTGGCCTGATGAATTGGGGGGTGGGGAGCCAGCTGTCAGCCCCACTCACTCCCTTACCCCCCAACCCCCGTCCTCAGGATCCTTCCTGCTGGCTACAACCTGCAAAACCATACCCAGGGTTCTTGCCTTTGAAGTTTCTTCTAAATAGAAGACTTACTAGGGCTTTGAAGGTGGATGTTGCTATGGAAACTGGCAAAAGCTGGTGATATTACAACTCACTGTGAACTGAGCATGTGTGGCCTCGGCTATGGAATCCCAGGCCCCACCCTGGCAAGCAGACAGAAAAGAATGCAGGTTTCTGTTGGGCCAGGCCCCACTCACAGAAAGCCTCCTGCTCAGGGCACAGGGCCTGGGCAGCAGGATTCCTGGGTTCTGTCCCACCTGTGAACCACCAGGACTCAGAGCAGGAGGTCTTTCTCATCCCTGAGCCTCAGTTTCCCACCTCTGAAAAGCCCTCCCTCTTCCCAAGGAGCAGCAATAGAACGAGATGTTTCTAAGAGGAGAGTGGACCCAGGTGGGCCTACTTCCCACACTCTTCTCTCACCTGCACCTGGCTCAGGGGCCAACTCCCTGCTGGTGGCTGCCTCTTCACTGAAAGTGCCCATGCGGCAGCATCTCGGGATGGCTGCTGGCAGCTGCCCAGAGGCACCAGGGACAGACCTTGGTTGGGGGAAGAGCCAGAGATGATGCCAGAGGAGGGAAGGACAGAAAGGAAGATGGCTTGTCCTGGTGGTCCCACACGGTGCGTCCTTGCTGCCAGGGGGCCCCAGGCGCCAGGCATGCAGGCTCATCTCCCATTGCTTCCCCTCCCTAGATTTCCAGCCCAAGGTGCAGAGCCGCCTGGTGGGGGGCAGCAGCGTGTGCGAAGGCACCGTGGAGGTGCGCCAGGGCATGCAGTGGGCAGCCCTGTGCGACAGCTCTTCAGCCAAGGGCATGACGCGGTGGGAGGAGGTATGCCGGGAGCAGCAGTGCGGCGGTGTCAACTCCTACCACGTGCTGGACGCCGGTGAGAAGACCTCCCGGGGGCTCTTCTGTCCCCAGGAGAAGCTGTCCCAGTGCCACGAGCTTCGGGAGAAAAAAGCCCACTGCAAGAGGGTGTTTGTCACATGTGAGTTGACCACAACTGACGGTGGGCAGAGGGCAGCCCCAGACATTCCCTCTAGGACCCAGTCAGTGCATGTGTCTCTGAAGAACTGGCCCCAGGAGCTAGACAGAGAGCCCTAGGACGCTAGAAATGGAGAGAGGGCAAATGGGGATCGGGCAGCGAGAGTGCTCAGACAGCAATGTCACATAGGTGGGAGACTGAGCTAGGCAACAGACATCTCTGTTGGGCAGCCAGTGAATGACAGAACTCCTTCCACCTTCTACTTTTCCAGGTGGAAGCTAAAAAATCAAGGGGTAGGTGGTGCATATTTGCTACGTGAATGGTCACTGAATAACAGATAAAAGAAATGGATGGGTGGATGGACGGATGGGTGGATACATAGAGGGCTGACTGGCCTTCAGTATTCGATCATATATTGGTATATGATGGTATATGATGGCAAGGTGATCACTTATAACTGGCAAATGGTAGAAAGTTAAACAGTTTGTAACAAGGGGGGCAAATGATAGCTGGATGATCATTTGTAGATAATAAATGGTAAATGGGTAGCAGAGAATTCTAGAGATGGATGGAGGGACAGCCAGATAGAGAGGTGCCTTCCTCACACGCTGGTGAATTTCTGGTGACTAGGAGAAGCCAGGCAGCCAGCAGCTTCCCTCTGAAGCAACAGTCTTTATACCGCAGGGTTGGGACTGACCCAACTCCTCCCCTATCCCCAGGCCAGGATCCCAACCCAGCAGGCCCAGCAGCAGGCACTGTGGCAAGCATCATCCTGGCCCTGCTGCTCCTGGCAGTGCTGCTCGTTGTGTGTGGCCCCCTCGCCTACAAGAAGCTGGTGAAGAAATGTAGGTGCTGGGGCCCCAAGCTACACTGTCCCCATGTGGGGAGACTGGAGCCTCACAGAAGAGGGGTCCAACCTCCAGAGAGCTGGGCCGAGGGCACCTCTGCCTCCCCATCCAGCCCTCCCCTCTCCTGCCCACTGGCATTTTTTCCACCCAAAGAAACAGAAACAGAAAGTCAGGAAAATCATAACCACTGATTTGCCCATATCTGGGTCCAGCTGAGACCCACTCCAGGCCAGAGGGAAGCTGTGGCCATTGCCTAGGCTTTGGCGGCCCAGAGAGCCATCGGCATGGCCTCTGACATGTCCACTCACCAGCTGCCCCTGACGCTGATCAGGCCACTTCCTCTCTGAGTCTCAGTTTCCTCATCCACCAAATGGATGACTGCATGCCCTGTGAACGCAGAGGGTTGAAATCCCTGCCTGGCAGAACTCAGGGGAAAATTATTCAGAGACTAGGAAGTGAGATTAGGGAGGCTGAAAACAGAGAGCCAAGAGGTGAGCAGTGTCAGCTCCCTAGCACCCACCCAGGTCTTAATTCTGGTCCTAAACACCTGCAGTTGTTTCTCCTGGGGACCCAGCCACCTCTGCACCCTCCTCAGCACAGTCCTTTGGCACTAGATGGCTCCAGTACCCCTCCTGAGAAAGTTAGAAAACTGAGGCCTGAGAGACTTCAGGGAGCAGAACCCAGCAATGGTGCCTCAGCTGCACCTGCCACCTCCTCCCTCCCCCAGGCCCCGCCCCCTCACCTGCACTCCATTACCCTGCCCCCCACCCTGATGTGCTTTCCTGTCTGTTGCCCAGTCCGCCAGAAGAAGCAGCGCCAGTGGATTGGCCCAACGGGAATGAATCAAAACAGTAAGTGTCCCCAGAGGCAGGGTCCTCCCTCAGCCCCAGGCCACGGATCCAGTCAAGGCTCACTGCTGATCACAGTCAGAGCCAGGGGCTTCCTGAGGCCTCTGATCACCACCACGCTCATCTAAAGTGCAACTGTGGCAACAGACGTCCCCACACTGGGAGGGCCAAGGCTTCTTGATGGGGCAGACGTTTGAGTGGTTTCTGACTCTGAAGCCTCAGACACCACAGTGTCCCCTCTGTCTTTTGCCTTATCTCAGGGGTTGACTTAACCAGAGGTCCCCAGCAGCCTTCGCCTGCTCGGGCAGCATTCCCCAACACCATGGCCATCGTTGTTAATAGGTGATACTCACAAAAGAGGACTCCAGACCTGAAATACCATGAGTTAAGCAAAGCTAAACACCGTTCTTTATTTTAGGACTTATCAAAACCTTAATGGGCAGTTTTGCACTGTTTATTCCCAAAGCAGGGATGCTTTAAGGAGGTTTGTTCAAGCTAATTTTATTACAGAACAACTTTAAAGGGCCAGTTTTAGACCATTTTGATGCAGTCAGCCCCACCCCATCCCTGGTCTTCATCGTCCGTCCTTCCAGCCACAGCCAGAGCCACCCTAAGGCATGGAAATAGTCCTCCTCCTGCCTCCCATTCTGCATTCTGCCATTCACAAGTCCGGGGCCAAATCCTTCAAGAAGGCTCTGTGTTGTCCAGTCTTTTGTATAACACAAAGGCCCTCAGCTCCTGGAGGGCAGTGAGTATGTCTGCCCTGTCACTTGTGCTCCAATTCATTGCTCGGTAAATGTTTGATGACCGACTGACCAACCGACTGAAGGCCCCACCCTGCCAATCAGAATTCTGGCCAACCCACAGCTGCTCTAAAAGTCTGCCACCTTGTGCTCCAATTCATTGCTCGGTAAATGTTTGATGACCGACTGACCAACCGACTGAAGGCTCCACCCTGCCAATCAGAATTCTGGCCAACCCACAGCTGCTCTAAAAGTCTGCCACGGACCCCGCTAGCATGAACCACCCCAGGGAGAAAGGAAATGGGGATGCATTGAAGGGGCTGTGGGTGCCTTTGCCCTCTCCCACATGACATAATGAGAACAGGACATTAAAGTTCTGGGTACCTGCTGGGGAAGGAGGGGTAGGACAAAACGGCAAGTCTAATGACACTGTCTCTTGCATCTGCTCAGTGTCTTTCCATCGTAACCACACGGCGACTGTCCGGTCCCAGGTTGAGAACCCCCCAGTCTCCCACGTGGATAACGAATACAGCCAGCCTCCCAGGAACTCCCACGTGTCAGCTTATCCAGGTAAGCACCAGTGGGCCGTCCTAGGCATGCAGGCAGAGCTGGAGCAGCCCTCCTGAGACAGGTCATGTGATGTCCTTGAAAGTCATGTGATTGCCCAAAGGGAGAAGGGAGGTCCCAGGGCACGGGGGGATCAAACTGCCTGCTAGACAGCAGGTCACAGCAGGAGTGTGGAAGGGATACTGCCTTCACAGGCCTTAGCTGTCCCTTTTGAGACTGTCAACCACTCATCTAAAGAGAGAATGCACTCAGATGGACGCCATTAACCCCAGCCTTGCTGTGACCTAATGGGCCTGTTCCCCTGCAGGGCCTTGAGGGGTCTGGCTGGTAAATGAGGTCCCCTGGATTCCTTCAATACAGAAGAGAGCCATTAAGTGGCCTGCAGGAGTCCTGTACTGACGGCTCCCTTCCTGGCGCTCACAATTAAACCCTAGGGAGCCTGGAGCTCAACATCATTAGTGATCACTTGGCTGATTTGATCAAAACAGATGCCGCAGCTGTTACCAGCTCATAAAGTCCCTGTGATCTTCCTACCCACTGTGGGCGGTGGCTCTGGCTCCAAGGGGCTGTAGGCTAGTGGGACAACCCCTCTGCCAACAGCCCTCCTTTCTTTCCCCAGCTCTGGAAGGGGCCCTGCATCGCTCCTCCACCCAGCCTGACAACTCCTCTGACAGTGACTACGACCTGCACGGGGCTCAGAGGCTGTCTTTCCATCGTAACCACACGGCGACTGTCCGGTCCCAGGTTGAGAACCCCCCAGTCTCCCATGTGGATAACGAATACAGCCAGCCTCCCAGGAACTCCCACGTGTCAGCTTATCCAGGTAAGCACCAGTGGGCAGTCCTAGGCATGCAGGCAGAGCTGGAGCAGCCCTCCTGAGACAGGTCATGTGATGTCCTTGAAAGTCATGTGATTGCCCAAAGGGAGAAGGGAGGTCCAAGGGCACAGTGGGGGGGATCAAACTGCCTGCTAGACAGCAGGTCACAGCAGGAGTGTGGAAGGTATACTGCCTTCACAGGCCTTAGCTGTCCCTTTTGAGACTGTCAACCACTCATCTAAAGAGAGAATGCACTCAGACGGATGCCATTAACCCCAGCCTTGCTGTGACCTAATGGGCCTGTTCCCCTGCAGGGCCTTGAGGGGTCTGGCTGGTAAATGAGGTCCCCTGGATTCCTTCAATACAGAAGAGAGCCATTAAATGGCCTGCAGGAGTCCTGTACTGACGGCTCCCTTCCTGGCGCTAACAATTAAACCCTAGGGAGCCTGGAGCTCAACATCATTAGTGATCATTTGGCTGATTTGATCAAAACAGATGCCACAGCTGTTACCAGCTCATAAAGACCCTGTGATCTTCCTACCCACTGTGGGTGGTGGCTCTGGCTCCAAGGGGCTGTAGGCTAGTGGGACAACCCCTCTGCCAACGGCCCTCCTTTCTTTCCCCAGCTCTAGAAGGGGCCCTGCATCGCTCCTCCACCCAGCCTGACAACTCCTCTGACAGTGACTACGACCTGCACGGGGCTCAGAGGCTATAAAAGGTGAGACTGCCTCCAGCTGCCGCCCTCACCCAGGGGTCCTCCACAGCCCTGGGGATGAGCACCAGCCACTCCATTCCTCCCTCCACTCCCCGCTGCCCCCCCCCCACCGTCCCACCCAGATATCCACAAGGGACTCTGAGCATCTTGATTCCTGTAAAGGGAAACAATAAGCATCAGCAGTTTAGGTGTTTAGGTGTCGGCAGCCAACTCGGCAATTACAGCAGAGATCAACCTTAAAAAGCATCTCTTAAGCTCCACCTTGGAAGACCACACAAAAAGAGCCCCTAAGAGTCTCCTGATGGCGTAACACCCCCAGAGCTGCCAATGAAGCCACAGGGAAGAGAAGCCCCTGATGCAGGATAGCAGCTGTCCCCAGAGCATGGGGCCTGTCCCCAGCCTCCCTGAATCACCTCCAGGATGTGAGGTTTCCTCCACTGACACATTCCCACATTCCCTTCTCACCCTACAGAACTGGGAACCAGCAACCAAGAGCCATGCCTATGTGTCCTGAGAAAACTCTGCATTTGCAATTTGGAAATGACATCCTGATTTCTACTCCCAGCTGTAGGAGAGGATGCCTCTTGAGCATGTGCAGCTGCCTTCCTATGGCAGGCCAGCTCTGACACCGCCCACTGGACCCTGGCCCAGGTGAAGACCCCACAACAGGTCAGCAGGCCCCTCCCAGTGTAGGCACTGTGAAAGGGCAGAGCTCAGAAACAAGCAGCCATTCCAAGGAGAGACTCAACAGGTGTCCAGGAGAGGGTCCCTCTTCCACCCCCAGGCAGCCCCCCTTCCCTGCCTGCTGGGGAGCAGCACCTGAGCAGAATCCAGCTTTCTCCTCAGACTCTGACCCCAACAAGGAATAACAAGGAAGCTCACACTTGGGCTCATGTATTTTTAATATGCTCTTTGTATATAATGCTCTTTCTACTTCCTGAGAACTAGAGTGCTCTGGCCTCTTCTGTCCAGGCTCTACCTCTTGGATGTCTCTGGAGATGCCCACATGAAGGGGGCACCTCCTTGGGGCACTCTGCAGCCGTCATGGTCACAGAACTGCACATCTGAGCACAAGGACAGCCTAGTACATACCCAGCAGCTGCCAGCAAGTGAGCTGTGTAGCTGCCCAGGCCCGAAGCCCCACTCCACGCCTCCACCTGTGACTCCCTGCACACCCCTCATCTAAAGATGCCTTCCTCTCCAGAGAGCAGGGACCACTGGCTGTCAAGCCCAAAGGGTACCAGGGCTACCCCAGGGCCCTGCATAAAGGGGGAACCTAGCAAATCCTAGCCAATTTGGGTTTTTGTTTCACATTGCAGCTTAAAATCTCAAGCTAAGGTAGTTTCAGCCAATCAGTTAAAGTTCTCACCCAGGAGTCAGAGAATGGGTCTGGATATGTTCTTTCAGTTTAAGTAATTCCCTCAACTAAAACAGTCTCAGTACCAGCCACCAAAAAAAAGAAAAAAAACTAAAAAGTCTCCTCTACTTCTTGGAGATCCTAGACACATACCTAATCCTGCAGTGCCTCAATTTCCTTAACTGCAAGCAGAGGAGGATATCTAGCTAGGAACCTAGGGTCTAATAAAGGGAAAGGCTGTGCCAGGGTCACTAAGCTTTCAGCATCAGGCAGCTCTCTACCGAGATGCAGTAGAACAGTGACACACCTTGGGTTTGGGGACCTTCTCCACATGATTGGCACTGTATCTACTGGGAGCAGAGATGTCAATGGTCCAAGTCAAAAGCCAGCTCTAAAAGAGCAAAAGGGAGTGACTAGAAGGATATGGGGGATGGGGTGGTGTTCACAGAATCAGGGGAGCTGGGGGGTGGGGCTGCCAGCATGCCAGAAGGGTCTGGTCAGCACACTGCCCCCACCAACACCCTCCAACCAAGCCTTCCATTCTGAGAGCTCAGGTGGCAGACCATGCTGGGAATCCAGAAACAGGGACCCCTGTTTACCTCCCATTCTTGGTGGGTGTGACGGCATTGCTCAGAAGGGAACAAAGAGGCTGCTCTGCAGGGGAGCAAAGGATGCGAGGTGCCCAGGGTCTCCTATTGGTGCCTTTCCTGATAAAACTCTCTAATCTGTAGTTTGGCCACCATACAGTGGCCTCAAAGCAACTTTGGCCTACATTAAAAAAAAAAAAAAAAAGTTTAGTAGAGGAGAAAAGCATCTTTAGAAAATTGCTTTCCAAATGGTGGTAGGCTTAGGTGACGCATTCCAGAAAGATCTGTTTGGTTATGCAACTGAACCGGAACCATTTCCGTCTTCAAGGTGTTTTTGTCAAGTTCCTAACTTAGCTGGTAGACCCAATCGCAGGCCTCTGGGTCAGCACTGCTCCTCCATGAGCCACTCATAGAGCCAGTCACCCTCAGCTGTAGAGGACACCCTGCTTAACCTTGGCAACCATGGGGTCCCCATTCCTGCACCAAGACAACCTGCTAGAGCAGAGCAGGAGCTGCCCCTCATGCTCTCCTGTGTGTCCCCCACACCCCAGCCTGCTTCCTAAATTATGTTACCCAGTCGACTCTTGGCGGTATCTGAGTGTGATTCTAGCACATACTCATGTTAAGTGAAGGAAGCTGAGAACCCAAAGGAAAGCTCACTTACACTACCAAGGTTCAAACAAGTCCAACTTCAAAGCTGTCACGCATCCAGGGGTCTGGGAGCATAAAACAGAACTGACATGACAGTTGAAAGGATCCCAGCAGCACAGCAGTGTCCTCACTAAGACAGGAATTTCTTTGGGGCTCTAAATTGGACACTTAA